CGGGGCTCCTGGTTGAGGGAAGAAACCCAAAATCCAACAAAATCCACCAGATGCAATATCTGCCTGGGGATATCACTGGGGCTTCCTAAAAGGCCAACTCAGCTGAGCCTGAGGGACAGAACTCGATGCTGGAGCCTCAGCCAGGGGCTTTTGCCTCTCTGAAGGTGGTGGGAAGGAGATGCTGGCTCCTCTAGCTGATAGGAGGTGCTGGAGTGACTGTTCCTCTGCACTGAGGACAGCTGAGAGCAGAGCAAACCCTGGTGTCCCCACTGCCCTCCCCGCTACACCTGCCAGACCCCGCTAATCCCACCCTGCCATCAAGACTAAGAGCCATTTCTGCCTTGCAGAGAAGAACCGGCTCGTTTCTTGTTTCCGAAGTGAATTCTCTGTCTGCTATCCCGGCTGTGACACAGACCGAGGGAGCTGAACGCTCCCAGTGACAGTGAAGTGGTAAAACTGCCTTCTGCAAAAAGCACGGTGGCTGCTGCCACCTCGGCGGGCGGTATCACTGCGTGATTAAGTTCTTACCAGACTTTTTGGTATAGGCAACCTTCCTGATCTGATAACTGCCAAGGACAAGCCAAATACGCAGGGTCAATCCATGCACACTTAATCTCCAGAAGGCAGATTAAGTGTATAATTGACCCATATAATCCGTGTATCATCTCCAGTGAAATGTTTTCTATGTCCGGTTTAGGCAGACATGAGGCCCATAAGACAGCGATCAGAGACACAGAATTACCATTGCAGTGGATTTCATCAAAGTCAGAGATGGCTTTTTAATCACTGATCTCAGAGACTGCTAGATTTAAGCAGATGAACTACCACTAAGCACATCTGTTTTAATCCTTATCTTCTACTCAGGCTGGGGTCTTCAAGAACTACAAGGAGGAAAAAAATAAATTAATTTTTTTTTTTAGGTCCTCACAATCTTAGGAGCTTCTCTTGGTGTTTTGATCCCTCATATCAAAAGCATGTTTTTGTTTTTTTCGGTAAGATATTGAATTAATCATCAGAGAGAAAAATGCCATCTGCGCTATTCAGGGACTGCATCAGGATGCTGGAATTCGCAGGATCTCGGGGAGCTCACCCGATGTTCAGTAGCCTTTTGTGTATGTGACACTCGCTGTGGCTGGGGAGGAAATAGTCACCCTATACTTTACATTAGTGTTTACCAATTTATGTGGAAGAAAGGTTGGCATTCACACTATCTACTAGTCAATCATAGACTTTCTGGATCACATATGTCGTGACGGGTTGAAACCTATACTGTGAGTATCTAAGGGTGTTTGTAAAGACCCGCACACATACATGGATCTACAAATAAATTCTGCCAAAGGGCACAACCCTCACAAGTAAAACTCCCACAGCCTTCAGATAAAATGATGGATGTATAAACTCTGATCCTATGAAATTCTGAGTGACCTAAGACAAAGAGGACCTGAATTTTGCAGGATTGGTCTGAAGACTCAAGATCACTCTGAAGATATTTTCCCATGCTTAAGATACACCCACCTGCTTCTGCCTCATTGTTCCTATAAAAAGTTCCATTCTGCATGTCAACTCTGCTCCCCTCTCCGGGCAAAAAGTGATAATATTTTACTTCCTATCAGGCACCACACAGAGTTTGTCATCCTTCTGCATTATGTGCAAAGTACCACGGGGTTTAAATCCCAAAGCACCCAGGCAGGCACAGGAGTGCAGGGAGCGGATGCTACAACGCTATTCTGAAACTCCTCTGTTACCACTGCTCTCTACCAATGGGCCTTATTACAGTGCTTTAGCGTTAAATGTTATCAAATTAGTGAGCCAGGCCAAGTAAATAAGTCATGTTACTCTGCAGTAAACAGCACTGCCAAAAAGCTAGTTAGGTTTTGATTACCAGCAGAACTCCACGATCAATCTGTTCATTCAATGATCCCAAGAATACAGATTTTTAAAATTAAGATGACTCTATTTCAGGGAGGGGGGAAAACCCATCCTGACTAATTTGCAGAATTAAGAGGATTAACATAGAGACCACACAGAAATATAACAATAATCTGCCGCAAACACCAGTATCTCCCAAAGAGCTGAGCCCTATTCTGCAGGCACGAGCAAGTCAGGCGATGCAGAGGAAGAGAGATGGTTTCTGAGCTAAGAAATCATGGCAAATGCCAAGAAAAGACATATTAACCCAGCTTCTCTGGAGACATGTCCTAACACACTCTGCAGCCGCTGCTCCTGGGAGGAAAAAAATGGGGAATAAATAGAAACACAGGGCAGGATCGCAGAGAAGTGCAGGGATCAGAGATATCCCAGGAGCTCAAACCCCACAGAACGTGCAATTGACAACCTTGTACTGTGCACCTCTGGTCCTGTACTGCTCAGGACTGTGCAGAAAAGGGATGTAGCCCCACACCATGAGTGTCTTTACTGTGACCCCACTGGGTGCCCAGGACCTGCCTGCAGGCAGGTTTAAGCTGTTTGCTGCCACTGCTGCCCCTATTGTCATACAACAGCCTAAACCGGACCGAGATTTGACCAGGGCAAGCCAGCACCGCTGCACTAAACCAGCTGAGGACCTGGCTGTGAAAGTGTTAATAATCTCATTGCCTGGAGAAACTGCAGCTAAGAGGATTTCTCCCCTGCCATGCTGGGAGAAGAGGGAACAAAATCAGGTCCAACTCTAACTTAGCATAATAAATACCATTTTTGATTATTTCTCTTCTCCTTCTCATTAAAGAGGTAGTTAGTAACTAAAACATCCTAGGAAAATAAGACCAAAGGAGCTTAAAAGACCCCACGACCATGCTGCTTTGCTGGGTTAGGTGAGAGGGGCGAAAGGCTGCAGGGCTCTGTCTGAGCTCAATAATGGAGTTAAGCACTTGCTTCACCCAAACATGACTGAACCCAGCACCAACTTAAATGGGGTCTGGTGACCCCCATGTAAACCCTGTGCTGCTGATGACCACAGGAGCCAGCTCCTTCTGCTGCAACCTGACAGAGACAACACATGACTGCTCAAAACATAATTCCAAGTTCTGGGTGACAAGTGTTTGGCACAATCCATTCCCTCCTTGCAAAGCCACCGCCCCACAGCTCACCCTGCTCATGGGCACACACTCACGTACATGAGACACATGCAAACATGCCAGCAGCATCAGATCCCAACCCTGTCCCACTGGGATGGGAACAGAAATGGGAACAGCTCCCACATGCTGCAATTCCCACCTGCAGCCAGTGCAGGTCAAAACAGGCAGAGCAATGTAAAAACCCCATCCTTGATTATTTAATTCCACATGGATCAGGGAGACTTGACGTAGGCAGGGAGGGAAAGAAGGGTTTTGCATTCTTTGCTTTCCAGCAAGGTAGCTGCTCTTTCATTTTTTTGTTCATGTCAACTGTTGATTTGTTTAAAATACGGCTTGGTAAAACCAAGTATGAGTGGATCAAACTGAAATCAATATTTGTGTTAATTAAAGCCTTTTGAAAATTGAAAATAATGGCCCAAATCGGTACAAACACACCAACTGTGAATCATAGGGAAAGGATGAGGGAAAAGGCAGTGTGGGCATTGAAAAGAACAGTCCAGATGAGCTCTGGAAATTTAACTGCTCGTGGAATAAATTTCAACACAAACGAGCAATGCACTCGCAGGCCCGCTGCAGATGGAAGCGACAGTCTTTTGTTTTATGTTTTGTTTTTTCTCCCCATGCCTGCTTGATGGGTGATTTGCGTCTGGTGCTCACGCTGCAAACTCTCCCGGGAGCGAGCACGAGCGAGCCCGGCGGAGGCACTGCTGTGCTCTGTGCATGAATGAGGCATTCTCAGTGGATATGGGTCATGCTAGTAGATGTACACAGTAAGATTATTTGACTCTTAATTCATGCCACTTGATATAATGTGATAAAACATTTGACATGAGAGATAAGTTCCATTTTAATCTGGTAAATTACGGGGGAAAAGAAAGAGTGGGAATTGTAAAGGAAGAAGAGGTTTCTGAGGGACAGGTAATGTGCAGAAAGAGAAGTATCGAGTGAAGGAAAGAGGTTGGTTGGGGAAAAGCAGCTTTCCTTGCACACTGAGGAAGCAAAAGAGTGAGTAAAGAAAGCACAGAAGGCTGTTAGAGTTCCAGAGCCAGGAGACAGAGACATGGCACTGCTGAGAGATGGAAGGAAGGAAGGAAAGTAGGGAAAGAAGCTACTTCAAACATAAATTGAGATACAGACAAATATCCTAGAGAGACTGAAACACTAATGCTGCAGGCTGGTCATCAACAGATAACCTTTACTATAGAACAGCTAGAAGGACAGAAAGGCTGTAACAGAACAAGAGCAACAGAAACAGAGATACTTTTAACATGCATCCAAACCTAAAAAACCAGGCATCACAGGTCACTGTTCTCTCACAGTCCAACAAACTGATCTTGTCCAACTGAAAATTAGCTGTGAACATCTGGGTCAGTTCCTACCAGCCATCTTCATCAAGGAGACCATGTCTCAAATTTAACTTTGCTGGCAGACACCACAACATGGTCCTTCTTTATACCAAATCCTGTTCATAATCAGCTGTTTTGATTAGCTTTCAAAATTAAAGTTTAGTATGTTAAATCTGCTGTCAGATTTGGAGTGCTTGTCAATGAAACAATGCAAAATGTGCAGAAGAGCCGGCCCTTAGCAAACACATCTGCCAAAAACCTGGCTCATATTGGAACAGTGAGAACAATGGCTGAGATGTTCTGATACAGAGAAATTTACACAAGCTTAAACATACTAAAGAGCTCTCTTAGAAGATACTGTTTATTTAAAATCCACACACAGACTAAGACAGTAGACTAAAGATTTAAAGCAGGCAGAGAGCAGATACGAGCCTTAGTCAGAAAGAAAGGAAAGATTTATTTATTTTTTAAAGCTATAACTAATAAATTTTCTCAAAATGTGACTTATCCTCCTGTCTTATTTTGTCACATTTTGGGTCTCTCCTGCTTGGTGTCCAAGGAGGAGAGGGCATTTACTTACATCAAATAACCTTTCTATATACATCTCCTCATTGACCTTATCACGCAGGACATCCTGAGAGTGGCGGACAAATGTCACATAGGCATCAGCAACATCCATTCCTGGCTTCTGCATGGAGGAGAGAAGAAGAGAGACAGAGAAAAACATGAATAGTGACACAGGGGGCAGCTTCTCTGTGCAGCCTCATCACTGCTTTTCTTTCTCTTCCATCTCCTGCTGTCCTCCTGCAGTTTGCCCTTTCCTTACCTGATGGAAACTTACCTGATGTCACATTTCTACAGCTCTCTGCAGAATTTAACTGGTTTTTAAAGAGTAACCTATAAGCATCCAAGATTTTGGGGATAACAGCAAAAAGCGAAACAGCTTTAAAGCAAATGGCAACTGAAGCAGCTGGATGGGAAAATATTAAAAAAAAAATCTTGTTTGAGTTCACATTGCTTGATATATTGGATTCAAACTTACCTCAAAGGAAACCCATTAAAATATGGTAACACGAGTCATTACAAGAGCTGCCAGAAAACCTTAAATTTGTGTGGCACATTGTAAGTTTGTTAATAACTAGTGTCATTAGTTTCCATTACTGTGATTTACCTCAGATCACAGAGTATCATTTCTCTGCAAGATACGATTGTCAGCCGCTGTAAATTGAAGTTAGTTAACACATCCGTGTAATTTCCAGGGTGAAAATGAGGACAGTTTGGAAAGCAGTAGGAAGGGAGTTTTTTAATACAAAGCAAACAATTATCAAGCAAAGGGCCAGTGCTTGGCCCTTGGGAAGGCAGTGACATTTCTTAACACTTACTGCAACAATGACAAGGTATTAATTTGAAAAACAATGAGTACAACACAAATGTGGCAGCAGTCAAGTGTTACACTTTCAAGCAATTTTCAGTCTGCTGATCGTGCCCATTCCAAGGCAGGATTAGACGGATTGGTTTGTACCAAGACAATTGCAACAGAATTACAGAATTAGATTTAACTAACATTTGCAGCATTAAATTTAACTGGTGGGTTTGTGTTCAACACCAGGATTTCCCCTCTGTCCTGTAATCAAACAGGTTTTTTTTTCCTCCTTCCCCTGGAAAGGCAGTGGCTCATGGACCACGGGGTGGCTCCTGCCCATCTCTGGCAGCTGTGTGGGGCTGGTGGTTGAGTTCATAAAAAATGTTGAGGCTGTCAAGGAAGCCACTGTAATCTGGTTTTGTTTCCAGGGGCAGGTGGGGAAACAGCTGAAAATGAACCCAGGTGAATGATTTCTGCTCTGATTTACACAAAGAACTGGAGCATCTGTCTGGCTTTGAGGAGAGGAGCAGACCCTGCTGCAGACCTCCCAAGGGTGTCCAAGACACAAAGGTTTTGGAAAAGCTTGAAAGGGTTACATAGCATTTTACTAAGACCACTTCCCTGGAGATGCTTTACTTTCCAGGAACATAGAGGCCTCAGAGAAGATCATGTTTCACCCTAGAACTGTTCTGTGTTCAAATTCCTGATGACTAAATGTTTAAGATGCACTGAAACAACTAGGAATTTCATCTGAAGGATCTCCACATTTTCAGGGCAAGAAATAAATTCTGAGTTTTTCTTCCCAAGGCTCTCAAAATCTTGCTTTTATTACTCCAAGATAACAGGATGCCAAGATCTGCACTGTGGTACTTTAAATCAAGCAACACCTCTTACTGTTCAAGAGTTTGTCTTTTCCATGCTAGGCTAAAGATGTGATAATTTTGTAGGCAACATTTAGGTTGGGCTAAAGGGCTGAAAACACCAAATGCAGATGACGTGGTCCAAGATGTCTGATAAATTTATCACATTGTCATATAAGGACATGCAGAAAAATACATCTGCATTAAATATACACACATTTTACACACACATCATCAAACTCAGCCAAGTTATTCTTGATTTCCACCACCCAGTCTAACCAGGTGCAGGAACTGGTGTGGTATATAAAGATCTATTTTTCTGCATTTGCAGTTGCTCAGGATCTTTCTGCCTGTAAATGTTACAGTAACCCCTTATTCCAGCCAACATTCATATATTACACTTCAACTTAATTTAAATGTAAATTTCTGGCAAGTTAAGTGCTCTGTCTAAGAACATTAAGGGCTCTTTTCCTTATGAATCAAGGTCTAATTAGAGGAGACGATGTACAGTTTTCCTACACCAATTACAGAAAAATGGAAAAAATTATTTTCATTAACAATTTCCCAAACACATGTTGGTAGCTCATCACCATTTCCCCAAAGTAATAAAAAAGTCATTTTCCAAAAGAGTAAAATAAACCAACAATTAGAAGAACAAAAATAAAATAGATTAGCTAATGTGTTAGATGTGTGTTGGCTCAGTTCTAACATGTCTGGACTTTTTGTTTGGAAATTATACTGTATTTGTACAAGTCCAAATGAAGAATTAACAGAATGCACTGCTCCCATTTTTTTTTTTTTCAAATGTGATTCAAGCCAATTGCATAAATATGGTACCTTTTTGACACCATCTGCAAATTGTTGCCTAAACAGCCTCATAGGTCTCCATTAGAGGGTAACTGCTCATTATTAACATAATGGAGATATCCTTTCCAGTTCAAATGTTAGAAGTATGAAGGCCCATGGCTCAATTTTGGCTGTTAATGCATAATGTGGGTTGCTACACATGCCATAAACCAAAGCACGATGCAAATTACTATGACAGAAGTTGTTTAAATTGTGCTTACGGGTACATCCACGTATTTGGAAGCAGCCTTCACCTGTAAAATTAAAAAGAAGAGAGTTTTAACACCATCAATACCTTTTCAGGTATTTTCTTTTATTCTTTAAACTCTGTAAGACAATCTCTAGCCAAGACCTGGGACAACATAATGCTGAGTAGGTTGAAAAGGGTGATGAAACTCACTTTCCTGTCTAAAAGGGTGGTATTTTTGTTGTTGTTTTTTTTTGGAGAGGTAACTTTACTGCTGCTAAAGCTCTAATAGCAGCAGATGATAGTGTGGGAGTTGTGCTTCTACTTCAGCGAGCGGGGGAAGACGGGGTTCGTAAGAAGACATCGTTATTTTCTTTGGAGGCCTCGCTCTCCACCTGATGCCACGTGTCTCCCAAGGCATTGCATGTCTCTCCTGCTGGGAGCTGGATCCCAGGAGCAATGGCAGCTCCCCTGGGAGCAGGGGCATGATGGCATGGTGAGGCTGGCAGGGGCCTGTACCAAGCTAGACACAAGAAAGCACCCGAAGGACCCTAATTTTGCTCCTTTCCCATCGTCCTGCCCACGTCCCACGTCCTGCCACAGTGCTTCCCCCAGCAGTGCAGGCTGCAGCCTGGGATATTGTTAAGACCAGGCTGCCTGAGTAACTTGGATAGTAGAAGGTGTCCTTGCCTGTGGGAGAAGGGTTGGAATGAGATGATTTTTAAGGTCCCTTCCAACCCAAACCATTCTGTGATGCTCTGCTGGGCTGAGGGTTTTCTGAGAAGTGTAGCACATGAGTGCCTGTGGCTGGGCTGCTTGGAAAGTTGTGCTCTTGTTTCACAACCCAGCCCTGTTGCCTTCACATGCAGCCTCTTCTGCACTTGTTCCTCCCTCATATCAGTGAACTCAAAACAAAAACTATTTTCCCCCTTTTTGCTGGCCCTGATGCTGGCAAGAGCTTGCAGACCATGTTGGGGCAGTGTGCTCGTGCCATGCCACGCAAAAGTGCCCTGAAGCTTTTCTGCTTCCCAGACTGAACAGCTCTCTCATTTTTACAAGATGCTATTGGAGGGAGGGTATCAGAGATGGACACTGCACCCTGTGGTGTTATCACAAGCTGGTGTGATCTGCAAGACCCCAAACTGACTTTGTCTGTGGTTTTCCATGCAGCAGGGTGCACATTGCCTGGCGCAGGAGGCGGGGTGGCCCCTGACGTCAGGGCCAACTCTTCCAACTGAGCAGTGCCCAGCTGGCCACAGAGACCTTTTTCCCACTGTAGCATAAGGCACAGTGTCTAGAAAGAGTATGGCGGGGATTTTCCACAACGCTTCTGCTTTTAATTAGGGTAAGCGTTGCCGGCCATCTTTGTTTGGGTGTAAAAGCTCACCTGCTTTTAAATATTTCTAAAGCTACCATTAAAACAGCCTAAATATAACACGCACACAGTTGCATCTTGGGATGAATAAATTATGTGTCCCGAATGAGAGAATGAATGTATGTGTGAGACAGAATGTGAGAGTGGGTGGAAGCACTCATATGGTGTGTGTGGGGGGTGCATAATTAAGCACAATGAGGCGATACAAAAGACCAGACTGGTGGTAATTGCCGAGGTGAACGCGGCGAGTATTGGCAGCGCCTGGGCTGCCGAGCCAGGGGGCAAGAACAGAGGGAAGGGCAGGAGGAGGGCACCGAGCGCCTGCTGCTGCCGTGAGACCCTGGGGCTGGCTGCCAGAGAGGCTGCAGGGGAACGGGGCATGTCCCAGCACACGAGTTTACGAAGGAGGCAGCAAAACTGGCACCAGAGCAAACACTTGTCTCCAGGTATTCGTGTTTCCAGCCAGCTGTCTGGACACCTTGCCCTGTTCTCTGCATTTATCCTCACAACTTTCTTGGGAGGTGGTGAAGCGCTGTCCCTTGCTCCTGCGGAATGGGAGCAGAGGAGCCTCAGCCTCCGTGCGTGAAGGCAGCTGGAACCCATCCAGCAGATGCAGCTCCAGGAGAGCAGGCAGTCATGGCACACCCACGCAGGCAGGGTGCCCATGCAAGCACCAAACCAGCAGTTTTTCTGAGCAGAAAAGCCCAACAACCAGGAGGAAAGCCTGGAAAAACAATGTGGCTCAACAGCCTGCAGAACTCAAGCTGGGGTCCTTGCTCAGAGTTACACCTGTACCTTCAAATATCACATGGAACATGAAGTCAGGCAGAGGCAAACCTGCCAGCTGAGTGTGGATTTAGCACTCTTGAGTCCAGCTTAGCGCCACTTTCAAACTACCTTCTCCAAAGCCAAGAGGCGACAAGAATAACTCAGCTTCCTGCGATCTCCTCCCTCCACCCACAAAAAAACTGAGCTGCTTCTCCTGCCCACTCTCCTTTAATCAGAATAATTACTTGTTTTTCTTTAAAGTCAGATTTGGCTACATTTAGTGAAATTTCCAAACTGCCGGATGTTGTGTGATTTTTGCTAGGCTGCCGTTTTTCACAAAGTATGTGACTTTGCCATGAAACATCTCAGTTTACCATACAAATTTTGCGCAGAACAAAAATAAGATCTTTTACTTCTGTCTCCCTTGGGTAACATGGAATCTTTGGTTATAATTACCACAGGTGTAATGCTCTGCCTACGGAGGCCATCCAGATTACAGGAAATTTTAGCAGCTGCCATTCCTGAGAGTCAGTGGATCTCCACATGCAGACACCCAGCCAGGGCCTGGGCTGCTGCCGCCAAGATGCACTCAAATGTAGCAACAAACAGAAAAAAAAAAAAAAAAAAAAAACACGGCAAAATTTAAAAGGGGGGT